TAAGGGAGATTTAAGGGTGCGTTTAGCGTCAGAATTGGGGGTTTGGTTTCGTGTTAACTATAGGATTTAGGTTCACCGTAGGGCTAGGATTAAGATTATAGTTCAGTCTTACGGTCGGGTTGACACACGGAAATATTTACCCTTGCTGAATTGTATCGCAACACCACCTATTTTAAGTGGACAGGGCGTTCCTATTCCCGTGTCCTGTCTAGGCCGGCATATATCATCCTTACCCATGTCTTAATCTTACATGTGAAAAAGATAGTACTTAAGAAGGATGAAAATAACGCAAACGCAATTGGCGAGGTGCGCTTCAGCGGTGAACGGTGTTTCATTAGTTGAACCGTATATCTGGGCCGCCACAGGTCCATGGAGGAGCAACTAGTGCAGCAAGAAAACGCAAGCAATTACGCTGAGGGGAAAAACAATCACGCCCACACACACATGTTGTCAAGAGGAAGCAAAACATAAGAAAAAAGGCGATAGCATTTTCATCCTATTAGCTTGGTGTGGAAGAGAAATGATAAATCCATAAGGTAGTAGGCTTACCTTGAGAATGACTTCCTCGTGGACAGTTTTGGTTTCCATCTGACGGGACCGGTTGTAGTCCACCATGATGAAAGGCATATGAAGACCCTTTGTTCTGTGCTTGAGTTGGGTATGGCCTTAATAAAAACAAGAGAAGGCATAAAAAGGTACAGTTAGGTCAGAACATGTAGAGGGAGTGCTAGCAACAGAAGGACACGCCAGTCGCCCCAACGGTAAAATACGCTCAGAGCGGCCCCAGACGTTTGTGCTGGCTCAAGAATTTATCTAGGCAAAGACAAGAGGAAGGGTGTGGAGTCCAGATTAGACGACTTCGCCGACTTCCTATGTGGTCAGGACAACTCCTGCCGCTTCCAGATTGGGGGGTTGCAACAAACAACATTTTTGGAGGTAAGGAGGGTGAATTTATAGTGGGAATGATCTACTGCAGTACATCGTCAGTATGTACAGCATACGTTTTAAAAGCTGGCACCCACTGCAAGGAAGACGTAGAAATGTTTCTAAATTCACAACAACTTAAAGCTTGACGAGGCGAAAATTCTCCCAACCGGTAATAACCCCATGAGCTGCGACATGCCTCTCCTGCTTGAAGCTACGTAATATTCGCAGTGGCCTCCGTCTCCATATTATGGCTGCGATTTTTTCCGGAAAAATTAGCCAGGAATGGGGAGCGCGAGTGACCAGCAGCTACAGTGACAGTGGGCTTAATGGTCAACTACGGCGACTAAATCACGGTCCCGGCTGCTGACTAACAAACCAGTTTCGCATTACCGTGTGCGTCTATTACCCCGATGAGTAGTTAGGATGACAATCTGAAACGTTAGACTACTTAACTTCTTATTGCAGCGATCGCAACTTCTCCTAAAACAGCATGGGTGAATCCGAACAGAACAAAAACATAACAGGGATCCTTACCGTCAGGTCCACGGCCACCAGTACGCACAAGTCGCAGGGGATCAATAGTGTACTGGTTGGGATCATTCACCTTCTCAACGGCCCATTGCATGCTCACTTTATGAGGATAGGTAATGCCTGGATGGCGGGCCAGCGAGAGTGAAGTAGTGAAGGAACGGCAGAGGAGCCCCTCTGCCAACCTTGAAATGCGGTGTACTTTTCTCGAAATAGACGCCTGTAAGAAGCAGTAAAAGCCGTCGTACTAGAAGGAAAGAGAACTTACATAGGGGGAGAAAAAACGGACATCAGTCAGCAAGCAAATTTACTTCCACTTCAATGTATGTACAGGCGTTTGTGTGTGTGAGAGAAAGACAAAATATAAAAAAGTACAGTCTAGATCGGACAGGAGCCAAGTCGAGTCCGACAGTGGTCGTTCGGTGGTTCGGATTCGGTCGTAAGCTCGCGTAAAAGAGGCAAGACTTCGGAGCG